ACAAACTTTATTAAGGACAATTAATTAAATTTACTTTGCTTTGTACTGTTCATGCCTGGCTTTGTAAGAGTGACACCTCTCCTCCCCAATTTGGAAAATTCTTATTCTTAGAGATTTAAAGGGTAAGAGCTAAGCATAAGGGTATATAAGTGTTGAAAGTATCTTTTGAGTGCTTTATTAGTTTTTTGTTTTGTTTTTGTGCGTTAGACAGAAAACAAGAAATTATTTTCATACTGAGTATGGGTCGAGAGCCCAACTTTCGGATAATAGGCACAGTTTTATTCCTCTTAGCATAATTGAATAATATAAAAATTGAGGGAACAGCTTGAATGATGCCACTGATTTTTTTATTACAGGCTTTTAGTTCCTCTGTTGAACAAATGAGTAAAAATGAAGATTGAAGATGTGATATTAAAAGAAATGTTGTCTTTTTTGTTTTCTTAATCCCAAAGGACTGTCTCAAAGGATTGCTAATTTTAGAGCATAGTGAAGTAAAAGAAGTTCATTATTGGATTTATCATTAATGAGGGCATATAATTAAAAATTTTAAAAGACACATGTAAAAACAAAGTAGACTGCTGCATTTTAAAAATATTTGTGCCAAAATCTGTGAGAAGAGAGGTAATGATTAGAAATTTTAATTGGAACTGAAGGCTGATTTATGTTCTCAATTTGATAATTTAACCCTCTGTCACTTTTAAAATGTCATTTAATTTTTCTGTCCCAGTTTTCTCTTCTATAAAATGCAGTCAGTAGTGCAACATACTTTATGTACAATGGTTTTTAAATAATATTTGCGAGACTTCTTAAGCATAAAATATTACCTAATATTAATATATATGTGTAAGTCTACTACATGGGGTTTTAAAAAGTTTAGACCTTGTAATCTGCAGACATTTGGGCAAAAGTTTTAAAAATGAGAAAAGCTGATGCTGTAAGTTGCATTTTCCTCATTCTCCTTAAAGGATTTCCTTTTGCTATTACATGTTTATATTTTCCAGACTCCAGTCAGGCTAGTTTTTAGTGTTGAATCATCTTATCTGTAGCATTAATAGAAAGTTTACTTGTAAAAACTGCCCTCTTAATTTTCTCCCAGCTGTTCCATCTAGGAGATTGTTTGAATTTCAGTTATTGAATGTGGTTCAATCAGAAGTTATTCTAAATAGAAAGTTTTTTGCAATTTTCACGAACTAGGGGAAAATTTAAATTTATTTTAAGATCATTTATGAACATTTTTATATTACTGTGAGAACAATTAAACACAGAATGTGTAATTTAATATTTCTAACTTATTATCATTTGTTCTAAGTTTATTTGGTGTATTGTTAAAATTCAGTGTGGGTATAGTCTCTTTAAAAAGATATCTGTTTACAAAATATCTATTTGTCTGTGAAATATTTTTTTAAAAACTTGCCCTAAAATGGGCGAGACAGAGAAACTTTACTCTGCAGACTTCTGATTGAATATATAGTTAAATGGTTTATATTGGGTATTGTTTTGATTGTTATTTTACAAATGAAGATTTTTTTGTATGTTTTTGTAGGGTTACTTTCAAGTATATTTTTATTTGTAAAAAGAAGCTCTTCTTTAAAAACGTCATTTTGTACTTAATGGTTATTTGGTAGTTCTCAGACTTTTATATTTGAGAGAAATGGAAATGAGTAATTTATTAAGCTGTTTCCCTAAAATGTGCTCATTTAGTTGGAACATGTGATGTAATTTGTTTTTACTATAATGTAGAGAGTTATCTTTATCCCAAATTCATAGTAGAATAGTTGGCTATTTTTGCAAATTTAGGGAGTATAGATTATACCCAGAAATGAACCATTGAATGCTAAGTGTTGGACTGAGTTTACAGTATCTCATGGAAATGGTGTTTTCCTTTTAAAGGCGTTTATATTGTTTCTGTTTAAGGACCATTTCTTAAACATGCCAGTAAGTGAATATATTGTACCTGTTGGTCAAGTGCTGTATTGAAGGATTTAATCTGTATCCTATGCTTCTCTCCCCTCTTCTTGCTTTTAATAATTGTCAATATTTGGCCTTTAGCCACATACTATCAGATAATTTTTAACGCTTGATAGGATGGCCCAGGTTGGTGGTTGGTTTCTTTTCTAGTGTCTTATCTGATGCAGAAAAGTAAGATTATTCTGTAACTCTTTAATGTGTGTTAAACATTGTTTTGAACATTTATTTTTAATCTATTATTTCTAATGGGGATAACACTTTAAAAGTTCTTGAGACTGTTTAAGTGGTTACATTCCCTGCAAGTATTAGTGCGAGCAGCAAGGACACTAAAGGTAGAGAGGATTCTAGGGGTTAGATTAGGTTGTATAAAGTGAATAAAATTGTTGTGATATAAAACGTGTTAAATTAATCATTGTATATACCTTTTCCCTAGGATTGTAACCTTGCTTTTTTATTAGCACTTCTCACTGTGAAGAGTCAAGAGTAGCAAATTGCCAGGAGAGGTTATGCATATCTTTAATCAGTTTTACCTGTTATTGTTGAGAACATATTAGATGGCTATGAGGAAGATAAGCAGTTTCACACTCATGAACGTTTTCAGTGGTCACATTTAGGGCTCCAGATTTTATAAGGTGGGAGAACAGATGTTCAAGTGATAGGTGGGAAAGGGTTTTCAGATACAAAGTCATTGTTAAGAAAATTCAAGTGTACCTATCTGGAAAAAATTGCATTTTAGCAAGTACAATCATATATGCTATATTTTCCAACGCTGTAACTGTTTTGACTATTCTGTGGCCATAAATACACTAGTATTTTTCCGACCATAAATCCTAACTTTTAGGCTAAGAAATGTGATCACTTAAAATTAGAATTTAACTGAAGAGTGAAAAAGCTGATAATTAATTTTTATTTTCCTTTTTCTACATTATAACTTTTTGTCATTAATTTTCAAGGCCTAGTACTATTTGCTTAAGTTCTATATATGCCTAGTTCTATAATTGAAGAGAAACTAAGAGAATGAATCCTTGTACTTGAGAAATTAGAATCACATTGGGAGAGGCATGAAGTAAATAGAAGATAATTGCATAGATATATTAATTTTTCTTTCTAAAGCAGTGGTTTTGAAACTGTATTCTGTAAAGGCTCCTGGAGGAAGTCAGGCAGGTTCATTCCAATTTCAACCAGTGCAGTTTTACTTTGATTAATTTTAAGTGTGAAGTTTATGTAAGATTTCACTTGAGAGCAGGGTTCTGTTGTTTAAAATATAAAGTATGATAACCACTAGTGGTAGCGTAATTGGCCTTATCACTGTCCTGCTTAAATCCTTACAATGGTTGAGTCTTTTTATTATGACTTACAAGACTTTTCTTTTTTAGCTCCAGCTTCGTTCTTCATCTGATATCACTGTTTCCCTTGCTTTCCATGTAAACCCCACATTCTAGTCCTACTTAAATTGCTTGATATTCCCTGAGAGGAAAACGTTCTTTTACATCTCAATTCCTTTGCACATGAAACTGCCATCATTCTTGACATGCTAAGCGGAAGTTTGTTCCCTTGGAGCCTTGGTCATAGCTCCATAAAAGCACTTACTTCATTGTTTTGTAACTGTGGCCTCCCTTGAGAGCAGAGACCATCTAGTTTATCTTTGTATCTGTACTACTTGGTGTTCATTAAGTATTCAAATGTCTGCTGAATAATTGCATTTAGAATTTGAGAAGTAGTAGAATTACTTTAATGCACACTCATGTGAATAAAACATCCTAGATCTAGTTTGTACGAGGTATTTTTAGTGTCATAGTGTCAGGCATTATGCTAAGTATATAAAAGGCAGCCAGTTACTCTTATCATGAAGTATTATAAAGCCAAAAGATATATTATATGGAAAAATTAGATTAGGTACTAGTGACTTTAAGTAACGTACGGGATTCCATCATCTAATCCTAAAAGTTGGTTGTGAAAGCATTTTAATAATAATTCTGTACAGTCCTGACTGCCTGTGAAAAAATTTCTTCATATGTGATTAAAGCTAATGGACTAAAAAGGACCTTCAAATGTCAAAGTATATAACAGAGCAATACTCACCACCAATAAAAATTAAAGAATGAGCCCTGGAGCTGTCCTGCCTGAATTTATATCCCTTTCCTGCCTGTCAACAGCTGTGTGATCTTGTGTAAGTTACTTAACCATTCTGTGCCTCCTTTTTCTTATTTGTAAGATGAGGATATTGATAATAATACTTTATATGACTGTGATGAAGGGGATACATGAGTTATTGGATATTGAGTGCTTAAAAGAATGTCCAACACACAGAAAACACTCAATACATGTTAGCTATAATTAGTTTCTGGTGGCTTCTTATTTAGACAGATGTTTATTGTGCACCATTTCTGCCATTTAAAAATAATTGTTTTAATACATGAATATCTAATTTAAAAGAAACATAACGTTTTTAGTTAGTTACTATATCTGTAAACTGGCAGCTGTTTTCTCTCCTTACTGACTCATTCTCCCATCTCCCAGTGGAGTATAGACTGTTTCTGTCAGATGGATTGACATGGGAGATTTGAAACCATGTTCTCCTGACTTCTGCAGCAGAGCACTGTGTTCCCATGACCTGTACGGTTCTTGGTAGTGCCCACGAGAGAGGAGGAGAGAAATAACAAGTGTAAGAATCCAGTGACAAGTTCTTAAACAAGCCTTAACCCGTACCAAAAATGTCCTACACTTTCATACTCCTTAGCAGAGGATAAGTGTTCAGCTTTTTTCCTTTTAACATTTTCTTTTACTTTTCTGTCTTGGAGGAATAGATTTTTTAAAACTTTTTTTTAATTTATTTTTATTTTATTTTATTTTGAGGAACATTAGCCCTGAGCTAACATCTGCCAATCCTCCTCTTTTTGTGGAGGAACACTGGCCCTGAGCTAACATCTGTGCCCACCTTCGTCTGCTTTATATGTGGGACGCCACCACAGCATGGCTTTTTGCCACGTGGTGCCATGTCCTCACCTGGGATCCGAACTGGTGAACCCTGGGCTACCAAAGTGGAACGTGCGAACTTAACCGCTGCGCCACCGGGCAGGCCTAAGAACAGATTTTTTAAAATCCTAATTTACATTTATTCCAGAAAGGCACATACAACTTAACGTCAGTGAACGTGTTCATTTTTTTATTACATAAATAGTATGTACTATGAAAATCCTACATACTATAAAATCCTGTTAAATATACCCATTTAGGATGCAGAAAAGAAAAAAACCTAAGAAGACGTTTCTGTTCCAAGATATTTTGCAAAGAGGTTATCCATTTCTTATTATAAGAATAATACCCAGTGTGTCCTTATAGCCTACTTTGACTTTCTCTCTCTATGTAACAATTCAAATATAATGAAAAGTTACTGGGGTAACTTTTTAAAAATATTTCATTAAAGGAAAGAATTTAACAAACAAATTTGAGTGTTTAATATGCTAACGGTGAGTGATTTGAAGATGAGGGGCTGGGATATAAAGATAAGTCAGGCATTTATCTTTATATAGTACTTAGAACCTGTTGGAGAGGCCAGAGTATGCAGAGAATACTTGGGAATTGAAAGCTGGAAATGAGACTGGCAAACAGCTAGATTTTGACTAGAGTAAGGAAACAAAATAAGACATTAGCAAGGGACCATTTTAAATGCCAGTGGCATGCTGTGTATTAGTCTGCCATGGAAAATTTGAATGCTTATAAAGTTGATCAATATACTAGCATTGTTTTGTAATTAGAACACTAGTTTAATATCAGCAAAATTTTGCTGACGTGCCATTATAAGAATTTTTAAAGTATTTTTTTGCACCTCCCTGAAAATTATGGGAGTTAGGATATACTAGGAAAAACAACGTCTAGAATAAATACAATTTTGACTAAGCCTATTTCCTCTGTACAAACCAAGATACTCTGTCTGTGTTTAATGTTGTCTAACCTTGAAATTTCATTTCCCTTCAACAGAGCATGCCTTTCTGTATCTGTTAGGTGAAAACAACTTCTTGTTTTACTTCTTAACCTCAGTTCTTGTTCCTTGTTGTTGTTATATTAGTATTAATATTATTATTAATTAATCAGAAAGGAGAAATACTGTTTGAGCATTTTCATCGCTTCAGCAATGTTTGGTTACATAGAGGAGTGAATGAGATTTGTACGACTCAACACCCACTTCGGTCTCCTCCGTCGCATCTACCGTGTTAGTCACATTCCTTGCTTTAGAGGGTTTCTGATTGTTAGAAATAACTTCTCGTTGAGCTGGATCTAGTTCCCCTCTCCCTTACTGATCCTTAGCAGTCTAGGGGTATGTACGCGAAGCATTGTTCTTATACACAGTAACTCTTACAGCATTTGAAAATGACTGTTAAATCCTGCTTGAGTCTTCTTTTTGCCATGCTAAGGGTAAAAAGCCCTAGTTCTCAAATCATATGCACATGACATACTTTACAGACCTTTCTCCAACCACATTGCTAAACTCATGACAATGTCTGTTTGTCAGTATACCTCTTAAAACTAGGTGGCCAGAACTGACTGACTACTTCAGATGTGGTCTGACTATTGCTGAATACAATGAAGCTTTTATCTGGATACTGTGCTTCTGTTAATGCAGCCAGAAATTTGCATTACATTTTTTGGCAGCGACATTACCCTTTGATCATATTGAGCTTATGGTCAACTAAAACCTTGTCTCTTTTTCATGTGAACTACTTTAAGTCTAATCTTTCTCATTCCGTGCTTGCTAGCAGATGCTTTGAAAGTAAATGCAGAATATTTTATATTGCATCACTATAAAAGTTTAACTGAATTTATCACATTTCATTCCAGTTGACTATCTGGAGATATGAGCTAACATTTGTGTAAAACAGCACAATTTTCATGGTGTTTTCACATATATTTTTATTTAATCTTTACAACAACCATCCAAGAATCAGGAGAGAGAAACGACTTTCCACTAAGTCAGGAATTGGCAGACACAGTACTTCGTCACAGGATTTTTGATTCCAGATCCCATGCTCCTCTTATCACTGTTCACTTAGTAAGCATTTAGCATGTCCTTTGCTATGTGGCCGTCACCATGTAGTGCTGGTGCGTCAGTGAGCAAGACAGATTACAGTCTCTGCTCTGTGGTATTTATGGCCTGGCATATAAATAATGACTGCCAGTTACTGAGCACTTTCTATTGGGAAGGCACTGTGGTAGATTGTATTATTGTTCAAAATATTTGTTGCCTCTGTCTGCCAGGGGCCTCTTTGTAGGAAGATTATGTTTCCCATGCTGTTGACATCAGTTTTGGACACTTGGCTTTCTTGACCAGTAAAATGATAGAGGAAGTGACATGTCCCATGTTTGAGCAGATGTTTTAAATTCCATCTTGTGGTTCTGCCAGTGGCTGTTTTCCTTCTGACATGGAACCAGCATGCCTTAGCTAGGGCTGGCCCCAGAGTGATGGAGCAGAATTGAAGCCGATCCATGATAGACATTTAATGTAAGTGAAAAATAAGCCCTTGCATTGTTGGCACCATGATTTTGGAGTCGTTTGTTACCATAGCATAATATAGCTCAAACGGGGTGTGATACCGGCATCATTCAAGGTCCCTATGAAGGTAGATAAGACGTAGGTCTTGTCTTCAAGGAGCTGGCAGTCTTGGTGAATGCATTAAATTTCCAGCAGGTAAGTGGTAGTTGGGGAAGAGGAGAGTACATGTGTGACGAGGTCTTTGAAGGTGAGGATCTTTCCTGACCTTCACCTCATCCCTAGGCTGAGTTGGTCAATATGTTTTAAATCCTGGGTCTGTGGTCCAGCTACTCCCTGTCACAACTTTTTATCATCCAAAATTTCATAAGCATGTTTTCTGTGCCCTCTTTCAAATCACCTTTTGTAAAACAAATGTTTAAGAGGATGGGCTTCTACAGAAAGTCATCAGAAACTTCTGTCATAAATCTGTTAATCAGCATTCCCTAGGTAGCCTAAGAATCTGCCTACTTGAACTATTTCTGCAACATATCCAGAAAAATAGGAGATCCTAGATTGTATGTGAATTTTATTTGTGAACGTTCATGTTTCCCATAGCCACAGCTATGGATACACCTCACTTTGCATAAGGTTTTTAGAGACGAAGTCCAGGGTAGGATTCTGTGAGGAATTTCCTTACCCAGAGAAGCTGAAGAATACATGGCCAGGGTTCAGGGGAGCTCTTGAAACCTTTGAAGTAAGTACATGTAAAATGTTATGTAAATAGACGTTCTGGGATGTAGCTTTTATCAAATCGTCAAAGGGAATCATGACTGGCCTGGAAGGTTACAAACCCTGTTGTAGAGTGAGGATAGCGATAGAACAATGTCCTGAGAGCACCGCGTTTAAAGGACAGATGGGGCAGGAGCCCAGAAAGAGATTCACAGGTTCCTTGGAAAGAACCGAGGACCAGGAGCAGATATGTTATAGACGCCACTTCCTTATTAATCAGGTTTTTGAAAATCTCTTCTAGAATTTTGCATGGATTCTACATCCATTTTCATGGCACTTCTTTATGGTTACTTGGAAATTACCAAATTTCCAGATACGTTTAAAATCTTAGGATATAATTTTTCTTGGTCCATAAATATGAATTAAAGCACTTCCTCCTTTTGCTGTGTCCTTCCTATCTTGGGCTTCCATTTCTTTTTCTTTTTTCCCTTAATCCTTATTTACCCTTCCCAGATTAAAGATCAATCTTGTTTAAAAAGGCTGACTCAAGATAGGAGTGAAACAGTTTAGGTTATCTGTTGACAGTTGATCCCAAGTAAGGAAGCTGGCCTTTGTTCTTTTTGTTGACAAGGCATTTTTAAGTCTTTAAAATTTTCCTTAACACTTATGATGGATCTCTACTTTTTTTAAACAACTATATTGAGATATAATTGTACAGTAAAGTGCACCTATGGAAAGTGTACAATTTGGTAATCTTTATATGTGTCTACTTATAAAACCATCACCATAGTCAAGATACTGAACATATCTATCACCCCCAAAAGTTTTCTGGGCCCTCTTGGTAATCTCTCTGTTTATTCCCCAGACAACCACTGTTTGTTTTCTTTCACTTTGCTTTAGTTGGCATCTTCTAGAATGCAGTATGCACTCTTTTTTGGTCTAGCTTCTTTCACTCAGTGTGATTATCTTGAGATTGTCCATTTTGTAGCATGTGTCAACTTCTTTCTATTGCTGACTGGTATTTTATTGTATGAACATGCTATAGTTTGTGTATCCATTCACCTCTTGAATCGTATGGTAGAGGTGTGTGTGTGTGTGTGTGTGTGTGACAGAGAGAGGGATAGAGAGATTGATTTATTTTAAGAAATTGGCTCACAACAGTTGTAGGGGCTAAAGAGTCCAAAATCTGTAGGACAGGCTAGCAGGCTAGAACCTCAGCAAGAGAGTTGATGTTGCAGTCTTGAGTCCGAGGTCTGTAGGACAGGCTGGCAGGTTGGAAACTCAGGCAGCATTTCTGTCTCTCTCTTGACACAGAATTTCTTCTTCCCCAGGAAACCAGAGATTTTTTGCTCTGAAGGCCTTCAACTGATGGGATGTGGCCCACCCACATTATCAAGGGTAATCTTTATTTAACGTCAGCTGATTATAAATGTTAATCACATCTACAGAATACTTCCACAGCAGCATTGAGACTAGTGTTTGAGCAAACAAAGCGTAGCCAAGTAGATGCATGAGAGTTAACCATCATAATCCCTAAGTATTTCATATTTTTTGATGCTATCATAAATGACATGTAGTTTTAAAGTTCAACTTATGATTGTTGCTAGTTCACTGTTTTGGTTTGGTTTTGCTTTTTACCTGTAGCCTTTTTTTCACTGTTCTTAAACAGATAATGGCGGTCTTTATTCGAGGTTAGGATTACTTTCCATCTTTAAAAATAGGAATTATTTTAGACACTTCCTAATGTCATTACTTAACCTCTCATTTTTCTTGTTTATTGGAATCATCTGACAGAAATGGCAATTTCATTTTAAGAATCTTGTCTTACCTCATTAGAGTCGTCTTTTTAGTTTTTCATTATAGGATTATAACAATTCTTAAATATTTCAGATATTAAAAATGTAGGTGGATTTAGAGTCTATAGGCTAGATAATTAGCAGAGTGGAGGTGCTGGTGTCCAAAAAGGAGACAGAAAGTTTAGGAGAAAAGATACAAGGTCATATTGTAGGCATTACCTTTATGCCCTTCTCTTTCTTTGATGAAGTCATTTAACTTTTTTGAGTCTCAGTTCCTCATCTGTAAAACAGAGTAATAATATCCACTTCATGGAGCCATAATGAAGTTAAGTGAGATGCTTTGTGTAAAGAGCCTGGAATAGTGCTTTTAAACAGAATAGCCTCCATTACTATTAGTATTTTATTCAACAAATGTTTGATACTTACTATTTGCATTTTTTAGTTAATTTTAGAATAAGTTTATCAATTTCTCCAAAAAAGCCCACAGACACTGCTTCAAGCTCTGGAAGTATAGGAGTAAAAAAGATAAGCAAGATTCGTCCTCTCATAAAGCTTCCATCATGGGAGGTCATGACAAGAGAGGCAGACAGTAAGCGAGTAAAGGAATAAAGAAGATCGTTTCAGGTCATGATAAGAACTGTGAAGAAAATCAAAGAGAAAGATGTGATAAAGAATTACTGAGGTGGGGAGCCCACTTCATAGTGGGTAGGGAAGACCTTTTTGAGGAGATGAGTTTGAGTAGAGACCCCAGAAGGATTTGAAGGAACTGAGCACGTGAAGATCTGTGTGAAAGCTTGTCTGGCGGAGAGGAGAGTGCCAGGCCTCGAAAGTGGGAAAGATTTCGCAAATCAGAGAAGTTGAGAGAAGCCTAGAGGTGCTTGTGGAGAATAGTAGAGAAGGAAGACAAGGCCAGCTCCTGTAGCATTTTACAGGCCACAGTAAGGAGACTGGGTTTTATTCTAAGTGCAAAGGGAAGCCATTGGAGGGTTTTGAGAATGGAAGGGACGTGATCATTAAATTAGATGGAAATGTCGCCATGGACCTTTAGAAACATGAAGCCAGCTCTGAGACATCAGCAAGCTGTATGCTTTATTATGACTTGGATTTCTAGTTGCCCAAGAAACATTAGAGTTAAGTACTTATTTTCTTTTATGTAAAAATCCTAGCCAGGCTTTATCAAAGCCGAGTCTAGATTATGTAAAGCAAATACTATTTTATATCTTTTAAATTTTACTAAGACTTGTTATGTACTTTTCAAAAAATAGTGTTTTCTGGATTCTTTTCCTTTTATAAGCACATGTGGCAGTTGACTGCCATAGCAGTAAAGAGCAAAGTTTTGGTTTCAGATATGCATAATTACTGACCACATGGAAGCATTCAGTAAATATTAACAAATCTTTATTGCTAGAATATGATTACATCATAGAATCATGGAATTATTGAACTGAATGAACCTTAAGAAATATTTAGTCATTAGTTAATTCCTTCCTTTTATAGAAGAGGCAACTTAGATCCAAAGAAGTTAAGTGGCTCACGTTATGTAAACATAAAAAATAAAATAAAATAAAATAAGCCTGGTTTTATTATCTTCCCAGTTGTAGGATGAGAGACTTTTGAGGCAAAATATGGAACCAGGGAAAAGACAGTGATATCAGTTTGCTTTGTATCTGCTGCCTTCTGCTCTGTTGCTCATTTACACCTATGTCGTTTTGTATTTATCCCTGGCTACAGATATTGGGATGAATCAGACAGTCCTTCCCTCACTGTGGAAACAGACAAGTAAACAAACAGTTGCCATATGAATTCAATGCCATGGTGAAGGCAGCTTAGTGTGTTGTGGGAGCACGGGATGGGCGTTTCTGGTAAGTGGCTCTAACTTCAATCTGTTTACCTACAGAGTCCGATGGACTTGGTCCCTTATTTCAGTGTAGTATGCGTTAAATTGCCTCAGCTATTTGGCCTTTCCTGTGCTTTTTTGCCTCACAGTCATAGCCCTGGGCTAAACATAAGCAAATTTGAAGGCCGTACGTCAGGCTGTGTCTGACCAGGTATCTGACCAGTAAGACTTGTCTTGACAGCCCTGCTCTGCTCCTGCCACTTAAGAGCCCTGGGGCCTCAGTATGTACCTGTGGCCAGTGATCAGCCACTATGATGGCAGCATGTCTTATTTTAAATAGGAAACTATTTAGAGATTCATTTAAGAAGAAGAGTTGATATGTTCCTCCTCTCAAGTGATACAGATTTTTTTTTTCCAGTTGAAGAAGATTTGCCTGAGTGAACATATTAGCCAGTCTTCCTCTACTTTGTGTGTGGGTTGCTGCCACAGCATGGCTGATGAGTGTTGTAGGTCCACGCCCAGGATCCAAACCCATGAACCTGGGCTGCCAAAGCAGAGCACACTGAACTGAACCGCTACACCACAGGGCCAGCCCCAGATGCAGATTTTATTAATTCCTGATTTTTGAAAAATTCTTAAAGGAAAACTGAGAAACAATTTTGTTGTTTGTTTGTTTTGGCTCATTTTCCTTTTTACTATGTATTTGGGGTGTGGCCATTCCTAAGAACATTAGCACATGAAGTTCATTGTTGATGTTATAACATGTTCTGAATCTTAAAATAAGGCACCAAAAATGCATTCAGAGAACAGGTAGATAAAGTAGCACTGCTGTGATTACAGAGAAAGCGTAGTTTCCTGTTAGGCTTTTCTCTTTCAAGAGCTTATAATTTTCTGTATAACCCAAACGTTATCCCTTGGGCACTTATGTTTTATTCTTGCTCTTGATTCTGTGTTATAACGTTTGATTGAAAAGGGAAGATATGAAATTTTTGTCTCCCACACAAAGAATCTTCATATTCTTATTTTTTTGGTAAGATTCAATTCCATGTGCCTGAGCCTGCCTTAGTTTGAGGAATAGTATCAGTAACTTTTATCTACAAGGAGTGTCTTGGACATTCTGTGTGTGTGTGTATAAAATCAAAACCCACAAATATGGTATACCTTGTTGGGAATATTAGATGATAATTCCTGGTGACTATATTATATTTGCACAGAGTATTAGATGACAGCCAGTTTTGACAGTCTAATGTAGTAGGTGATCTGGCATTCTCCGTATCTTGGGTCATATGAGGATAAAATTATCCATCTCCTGAGCCTTTATGAGGAAGGGAACTAGAATTTTAGAAGTGTGAACTGAGAAAATTGGACTCAAGTTAGCAGCCTAAAAAATGGTAAAACCAAATTGTGTATGAATAACTGTTTCCCTCTTTATTTTGTTCATATTGAAGAATTGAACTATAGAGGTATTTTCTGTGAAAGGTGAATAAGCTATCCATAGTGAATGATTTTAGCTTGTATAGAAAGCATCTTTAGCTGTACTAAATATAAAACTGTCAGTTCTCTGAAGGTCTCTGCGTTAATTACTCATCCTTCTCAGTTGACAGTGGAGGCATGTAGCACAGGTGAGAGCAGGCTGTGGGGTTCAGAGCCCAGTCCACCAGCTGCTGTGTGGCTCTGGGCAGACAGCTCTCTGTCTCATGCTCCTCATTTACAAAAGTGGATAATACTAGTGCCTACCTAACAGGGCTGGAATGAGGGTTAAATGAGTTAATATATGTAACATTCTTAGAACTCTGCCTCAAATGTGATAAGCACTAGGTAAGTGGTAACTGATCTTATTATTGATACATAGCTGTAGTACATTTTAAGTAGTTGGTTTTATTGGTGAAGTTTTCATTGAGAATTGGGCATTTAAATTAGGGCTTTGAAAGATAAACAGGATTTATAAAAAATGATACTGAAAATGGGAAAAACTGTGATCAAAGTTGCAAAGAGGAGGTAAAGAATCTTTTTCCCTTCTGTTCTCCTTTCATTTATTGCAAATGTGCCTGCCGCTGAGCTCAGTACTTGATGAACGTTACATTATCTTACTCAATCTTCACAGTAACCCTACAAGATAAGTATTCTAAATTTTACAGTCTGGAAAGTAGTCACAGAAAAGTAAAGTCACTTTCCCAAAGTCACAAAGTTAAATACTTGGCCTAGTCCTGTCTGACTGTAATGTAACTTAATTGTTGTCTAATACTGCCTTCCTAAGGGTAGACTATCAGAAGATGATCCCAAAAGATATTTGAAAGGGTGGGTGCTCTGTGGTTGGACTTCTAAACAATAATAGAATTAGGATATTAGGGATGCATGTGGTCACTTTGTCACAGTGAGAGACTCTGGCTACTGGGCATGCTAGTCATTTCAAAAGATTGGCAAGAAATGTGCATGCCAGTGCTTGCTGAATACACCGTTGTTTCCCCTGTCATTCTAGCAGTGTGAAAGGACTTGTTTTTTTCTGAACTGAGAATGGCAGTACTGTATTTTGTTTGTTGAAGTTCTTATTATTTTTCTTATTAGAAATTGTACAGATTTCCCCAGTGGCGTCCTGACTGACACCTTGGACTTCGGTGCTTTTCACACACTTTTGTTGCCTGGAATTGACTGCTGTTTGAGCACCCTTCTCAGGTCCACACAGAGGAGTGTCTCCAACTCTGCTTCCCAGTCTTCAGCAGTTATGGTTTCATGTTTGTGAGGTTTGCTTGGAATAGAAATAGGATGATCTTAATTCTATTACTGTTCATTCCTTCCATCCTCTAGATACTTTGTCGCACTTTCTTTCTTGTGAAACTTTAGAGGAATTGGTAATTCCGTTGTCTTACTTTTTCCTCTCAAGTATCTCACTGGCCTTATTCAGACTTCAATTTTAAATGGTTGTCCCCCCATGTACTACTTCCTTCCATTAATTAGCTGATAGTTGTTTTTTCCCTCTGTATTTTTAATGCCTTTTCTTTACTGTCTGGAACTCCCCTTCCCAGAATATAAAGCAAATAACTTAGGTGCTAGGCTTTATAAGACTAGAATCAACTTAAATAAACTAGAACCTTGGTAACTAGGATCTTTCCCTAGAATTTATTTCCTTTCCTCCGCTTTTAAGGAAAAAAACATTATATGGGAACAAATAAATACCAGAGATTTAGCCAAAAATTAAAAAAATAAAAAGCAAAACCATTCAGGATTTGTCAGCAAACTATTAACACCTGCTATGTACGCTATTAGAAACAATGAAGATTTTTACCTTAAAGTAAATCTCCTATCTGTCCCCTTTTTTTAAAGATCATTCCCGTCATCTTGAAGCAAGCCTTCATGGTCTGGACTTCTGGAACAGCCTCGTAGCCAGTTCCTTATCCTTCCCACCTCTCCACCTTCCAGATCATCATCTGTGTTACCAGCAGTCTGATCTTTCTTAAACAGGAATCTAGTCTTGTTTTGGGTCATGACAGTCTTCTTTGGCTCTTCATTGCCTATATCCCTAACATGCTTCAACTTTGCAGCCTCCTTCGGATGGTAAGCTCCGTGGAAATAGGTATCTTACCTACTTTATTCGCCACTCTCTCCCCACATCTACATTCCATAAATACTTTATTTTGTAAGTACTGTGGGCCAGGCTTTCCTGAAAGGTGTGCCTCTAATAGGTTACAGGCTCGTTAAGAAGTACTGATGGGTGCCTTCTACCTTTGGGATGGCCACATGGAGCCTGGCTCGTCCAGGGCTCCACTGAGAGTCACTGGAGTCTGAGGTCTCTGCAGAATGGTTGGTGATGTGCTGAACTCAGGCAAGAAGATCCTCTGTAACCTGGACGTCTACTTCAGCAGCCCGCTTCAGAGTATACCACTGCCCGTTGTAGATGAGGGGCCATGGAGCAGCTGGAGAATTTGTGTTCCAGGTGCCTGAGGAGCCAGCACAGCTAAAGGTGCTACTAGTCAAAAGTCAGGGTAGGAAACAGAAGAGGCCAGTCAGGGGTTCCCAACTCTGGAGAGAAGTCTCAAGTCTGTCTTCACACGTGTTGGATGCATTTGTGGCTGACAGGCCCGTTTAGTGGCATTCAGGTTAGCTAGAGGCTGACCAGTCTAATATGTATGTTCATCTGCAAATTCTTTTTATTAATGCACATTGATATGAACTTGATATGAACATGTTCAAATTGCTTTGAGACCTATTCATATTATCCCAAGAACTTTTGACAGTATTTGCCGATGAAAAGGAAGCTCTTTTAGATCTTTCAACACAATATAATGTCATTGTGTGAATGACTAAAATAAATTATTTTTACTTGAGCAAATAAAGTATAAAGTTTGTTTATAACTTAATTTGCACAATAGTTTGTTCTTAAAATGCTGTTTAAATTAACATTTTAATACCAATATATTTAAAATTCATTGGAGGAACTTATTTATATGAACTCTGGTTCATTTTATAAAATGAAAAATGTAATTAAAACCAAGTTTATCTTTCATAACTTTAGATTTTAAGATCTTCTTAACTGAAAAGTAAATTAAAAACAAAGAGTAGTGTTTCTAATATTATTGTCATTATCTCATTATTTATATGGGCCCAGTTAGCCTATTTGGTGCAAATAAAGCCAGTGTAGTTGATTTCTTTTTCTTGCCCAGCTTAGTTAATGGCTAACCTGAGTTAGGCCTGGTAGAATTCTGTAGAACGCTGCTGTTGTCACAGACAGTGGCCCTTGTGATTGTCGGGTCTTTCAAGTACAGACTTGCTTTCAGGGGGAAGATTTTCAAAAAAGTGTGCGTGCAAACCTATAAACACTATTAACATCTATATAGTACTTTATTGTTTCAAATATGCTTTTATACTTAAAATTTTATTTAATCCTCACAACTACTCTGTGAATTATTTTTAATTCCATATTATAGGGTCGTCTTATTTTATAGGTTGAGAAACTGATTCTGAGTAGTTCAGTGACTTACTCAAGGTCACACAGCTAATACATCAGTGGAAGTGCAAGAGATTTGATTGAACAGATGTGGCCTCTTTAAGGAACCAATGTAAGACTATGAACAATAAATTAAGAGTCATTTTACCTCTTTAGAAGAGGGTTCTTTTTCTCAAGTATAGCATTAAGTAGATTTCTTACTAGAGAAACTTGAAAACAATATTTAAAACTAAATAAATATAAATGAATAATTTTTCTGAAGATTAAAACAGCTGTGAAATTAGGTAATTAGGTAAGCAGTAAGAAATGTGGCATCGATTTGAGGTTTTATCTATATAGATGTACGTGTATATGTGTATATATATATTCTGTCACTAAGTTTCACAATTAAGGTTTCTTAAATCCTTATTTACTGAAATCACCTTTTGCTTCTGTATTGAGGCTGAAGTTGGCAATTTTCCTCCAGATGTGGATTTTGAAAATTATGCATACTTGTTGAAATGTGGATTGCATTATCATGATGCATTTATAGGCGCTACCCGCCAGGATTATGGGAAACTTTGAATGTTGCACTTTGGCTTGCAGTCTGTACGGATCATGGAGAGCACTCGATCTATACTCATGACCTGTTTTGTTTTGGGTGCAGTTCCAGTGTTTACTAAAGGCTGTAAAGCAGAGTTTGGAGCCTCTGCACACCCTGTTGGCTGAAGAGACTCTGCTTTTCAGTTGCTTGAGTGTTGTGTGGCCACAGACCTGCTCAGCTGACCCTGATTCAAGTGGTCTTAACACTCAGAGTCAGCTCGGTGTTGTTGGTGACTGATTTTACTGCATTTATGACCTAGGACTTTCAGTGGGCGGTATTTTAAGAATCTAAAAAATGCTGGCTACCATTCAGTCACTATCAGTTTTGATTATGGTCAGAGAATTTGGTAAAAAAAAAAATACAAATTTCTGATTGCCCTATAGTTTAATAAAAACTATTTCATCATTTTGCCAAAACACTGCCCCACCCCTGCTCCAGGTTTGAAGCGTTCCTATGCAGGCTTTTTTTGGGTAAGTACGTAACAAATCAACACTTATCTAAATATATGGCACTCATCTTATAGGAAGCTACACTTTCTTTGTTCAGAATAGTAATGGAGAAAATGTGTAATTACACCGAAATGATAAACTAAAGTATCCATTAATGCTTCCTTGGGTTTTAGTGTAACCTTCTCCTTCCACTCCAAATGCCTTGTGCGTTTAGTCCATAACATCACCACTCCATTTAACTCAATAGTCTTTTCAGCTTTGATCTGTAATGGCGCTTAGGGTGACCACAGTCCTTATGGCCCAGGAGTGTACCAGTTTTAAAATGGAAAATCCCTTACCCAGGGAACCCTTTCAGACGCAGACACATCCTCACCACAGAGCTGGTGGTTACCCTGACAGCAGGCCTATGCTGTCATTTAGACATTAGGAATGTTATTGGACCTATGGTAGAAACCTGGTTTGGTGGTTGTATGAATTTAGCATGCATCAGAATCACCTGGAAGGCTTATTAAACACAGATTGCTGGGTTGTGTACCCCTAATTCCTGATCAGTTAGGTCTAGGGTGGGAGCCTGAGAATTGCTTTTCTAACAGTTTCCTACATGGTGCTGATGCTGCTGGTTTGGGGACCACACTGAGAACCACTGACTTAGATCAAGCTGTGTAGCCTGTGAATATATGGTGATGTTTTATTCAGAATTGTGGAGAAAAGGAACTGTTTCTCTATCTTGCAAGCCTAACCACTAACAGCACCAAAAGATGTTTGTGTCTGAGCTGTGATCGAGCCACACCAAAAAGCACCTGATCCTGTCAGAGGTGACAGAATTGGGGAAGAGGTTAAGAAAAGCCTAGTGGAAAAGTCATTCATGGTATGTATATACAGTAGTCCACCCTTATCCACACAAGATGCGTCCCATGACCCCCAGTGGATGCCTGAAACTGCAGATAGTAGCGAACCCTGTAGATACTGTGTTTTTGCCTATACATACATACCTATGGTAAAGTTTAATTTGTAAATTAGGCACAGTAGGAGATTAACAACAGTAATGAAATAAAACAATTATAGTAATATACTGTAATAAAAGTTATGTGAATGTGGTCTCTGTCTCTCTCAAAATGTCTTATTGTACTGTACTCACCCTTCGTCCTGTGATGATGTGAGATGATAAAATGCCTATGCCGTGAGATGAATGATTTAGGCATTGCGACATAGCATTATTTCAGACCGCAGTTGACATTGCAGAAAGTGAAACCATGGGTAAGGAGGGGCTACTGTATTTTGATAGTTTATAGTCAGTTTCTTATGCAAACTTTTATTTGTTAACCAATTTGAATCGCACACAGAGTATCTGAAATGGATAGCTACTTCCAGAGAACAGATATTCATTATTATAGCAGAACTGATTTAAGCTGAGTGTAGTAGGGGTTATAGAACCTGCCTTGCCGGCTTCTCTGAGTTATCACTATGAAAATCCATCCACAAGGTGTGAACATGCTTTGCAATCGGAAGGTGTCATCACGATGATGATGTAGTTTTCAACTGAGTGGTACTTTTCACTGCTTTCATCTTCATCATCTCCTTGATTGTTTTCAGAATCCAGGAAATTAGATGGGGCTGCTTTATTATTTATTAATTATTATTATTAAATCATAATTATTCCCCATGACTTTTGTGACAACCTTGCAGACTTCAGTTTGCCAGGCTTGTTTGTCCTCAGTGGTTGTCATCAGGTAGGTGGTTCCTAGAGAGTGGCTAATAGTTCTGAATGGCTGAGCTTGGTCAGGTCACTTCAATTTGTACCTTATTCCTCATTTGTAAAATAGAAGTAATACCTGCTCTACTACTAATATTAAAACTAGTTGTAAGGCTTAAGATGAGAAACTGTATGAAAACACTTTGTTACAAATGGCAGTTAATAATAATGAGTAAGTAGTAAATAAGCTGCAGAGAACAGGAAGCATGTTCTTTTCATCTTTATATCCTAAGTACCTTGCTACTTTATAAATTTTTCAAATAAATTGAGTTTATTGATTTAGGTATCATTTTCTTTTCCTTCCTTTTTTTTTTTTTTATCTCTGCTGTTTCTTTTACATGGAGTAAATAGAAAATAAGTATTATTGAATGGGTTGAAAACAAGAATAGGATATTTTGGGGGATATCTCTGATTTTGGGGGTAGTTTTCTTGTTGTTGTTTTTAATATGGGCATTTTCTGCTCCATTGCCTGTTTTCTGCTGGTTTGTGAATTCTTGCACTCTGCCAAGATTCTCTCCGTGTTACCACCCTGTCTCCATTAAGACGTGACATAATCACCCTGCTACTGCTCCGTGCACCTACCCTCCCAGCTGTCCTGCCTGTTTCAGAGTTCAGGGTCAAAATTGTGGCATACCATTTCTGAGAGATTCCCTGGGTACCACTGAATTTCAACAGATTAATAGATTTCTTTTAGAGGATACAAAATCTAGGCCAACTGAGAATTTTACTTGATTTGGTTTCTTTTCCAGTGTGTTTATCGTAAGTTACAAAATGATATTTCTTCTTAACTGTTTTCTTAGGTGTTCTAGTAAAATTTTCCAAACCCAGTAAAACTTCCTTATAATCATATTTTGGGGAGATAATGTCTTCATTATGGGTTTTCACATTGAAAGAGATGTATATAGGTCTCTAACTTGTTTTCAACACTGTACTTGAGAGATCTGTGATATGACAGAATCTCTGGCAAAATGTGGCATGGCATACATTATATATGGATACTCATCAACTGCTCTTGACAGATGGATTTGACAAACATTTCCAGTCTCTGCACGGTAGCACTGTTCCAGCCAGCAGTTCAGTAATCGCCATTTCTGTCTGGACAGCAGATTGTATGTATGTAATGCATTTTGCCCATTTTCATAAAAATTTGTAAACAGAAAAGTAAAGTGCTGACACTATTGGTAAGAAGGGTAACTCTCAAATATGTAATACGTTGTGACAAAGATGTAAATCATTAAGCATGACACAAATGGTAAATCTTTAGCCTCAGCTACACCCTCATTAGACTTGACCTGCTTACTGTGTATTTGGTTGTGAATAAAAAAGCAAAGTTAAAGAACATTTATGAAATATAGGTTGTATGTTATAATTAAAGATAGTGTCTGGAAGATTTTTTGTAATTATAGAAGGTATTTTATAATATTCTTTTTCAACTGCTGTACATTTAATTTCAACTACCTTCGAGAATACATCATACACTCGTTAGCTCAGGGTGAATCCCTGCAAAAAAAAAAAAGAATATGTCATAGACAAATGAATGGCATTGACAAAATTCCCTAATAACCCTGAAGAAAAGATTCTATCTGTTGTATGTGTGTGTGTTAAATATAGTAGCTATGATAAAAATTTCTGTCTTTTGTTCAATCTTTAAAAAAATTAAACTGAAAACAGAGAGGGAAATTGAAGGAGAGAATTGTAATAACTAGTTCATTGCATCTTAATGTGTAGCATCCTAATTAGTCAAGTATCATGTGCCTACCTAGGCATGAAATAACTGTTTTTTTCCCTAATTTAAATCTGGACCTTTTCACTTGTAGAACAGCTTGAATAGCCTTTCTTGTGAATAGCCTTTGTTGTAACTAGCCCCTGGATTTTTTTTTTTAAGTATTTATCTTCAGAAACCATGAAGGTCCATATCCATAGAGACCACATACACTTTCCTCGTTATTTCCAGCATTATTTCTGTAAGGGGTAGAGTTATTTACAACATTTAGACCAAAATATGTTTCAGAAAGCAACCTTTAAATATTATCACAGGGGTAAATATCAGTGACTGAAATCCCTTACTCCGTAATTTCTAGAAAGAAAAAAAATGATACTAGAAAATTAGTAGCCTTTTAAAAGTTTGTCTGTTGGTATTTGCAGTAGTTAGCCTGTAGGGTGTGTGTGTACATTTGTGTTCTTATGTATGTACGTACGTGTGTGTGTATGTTCCTTTCTTGGAAATCACTGTGACTCAATTGTAGACTCTGTTTTAATCATTTTGGGTTTTTTTTTAAGAAACAATAATTTTATGTGTTTCAGATTAAAGCAGATCTTGGTTTGGATGGAGTGCAGATTACTGTATTTCACCTAGTCTTCCTTCTCTCTTTCAGGAAAGTGGTGTAGGAAACAAATGGTTTTAGTGTATTGCTTTATAAACAAAGCCGAGGTCATGAGTTTGTTCCTCTTATTATCTCCTTTGCTTTGTTCATTTCCATGGATGGGCTGTACATCCCTAACGCAAATCAACTGGGGGTGGGGGAGGAAAGTATTAAGCCTCACTCAGTGTAAATCCACTGCCGGTCAAACCCACTGCATTAGCAGTCTAAATTAAGACACTTTTGTTAATGAAAGGAGTCACTTTAATTATATCAGGGCAACAGGCATAAATTGGCACTGTTTGGGGCAGATATATGGTCACTGTAATCATTAGGGTTGTCATTCTAGTGTATTGTTTCTTATTAATTTTGAAACTCAGTTTAGGGAGAGAAAACCTCATTTTTGCCTGTATTAAAGAAAAAATGTATATTCATGTAGGATAATTGAGTAATATCTTTAATGTTGCATATTTGCCAAGATAAATTTATTGTGCATATCTTCTTTTTTAATTAGTTTGTTTAGGAAAAATTGCTATTGGTGAACCACTTATTCTCTTGCTAATTAATATCATTAACTTTATCATTTTTGTTCCAACATGTCACAGATAGCATTCAGCCCTAGAAAGCCTATAAATCATTAGATAAAGCTGGTGACTGGCAACGTTTCTGTCTATTCCTTCTGTTACTTTGTTGTTCAGAAAGTCTGTGGTTGTAAACATCCCCGACTGGAAGCTGTGAGACATGGCTAAGCTTTCAGTCAGATGTTTGCTGCGACCGGCTGTTCACAGACGTCATTTTGGTGTAATTATGTTGAAGAAGTGGAATTGGGAGACTATCTAATGGGTGTGGGAAAACACCAGAAATCTTTAGATTTCTTCATTTACTGCTATCTGTGAGAGTGCATGTATTATGATAGAGTTTAGTGTGGGATGCTGTCATAATAACAGGATATCCTGTACCAGATGCCATCGGAGCTTCCCAGACTTAAGATGCTGCTGCTGGGCCTTAGAGAATTTAGTTTAAAAAAATTTTTTTCCACTATGGGTTCTTATTTCTGTTTTTGCCCTGTCAGTGAACTTTTATTCTTTATTGCCTTTCCAAGTAGGCTAGAGTTTAACTTCCCAACTGTTCAGAGGCCTGATTTCCTCCTTTAGAAATTCCACAGCCATTCTGGAGAATAAATTTATCACCACCACCGCCACCACTCCCCGGCAGTATACAACCTGGAACATTCAGTTTTCTCTGGAGTGAAGAGATGCTGTGTTAACTTTGTCTCCGTCCTCCCAACCCCCCAGCTTCCTGTTCTCCTCCTCCTGAATGATGGCACAGCTCCTAATCAGAAGTCTTCTCTCTAAAAAATTGCATGACTTCAAACCACTGAGCCTATTTACAGCATTTACCATTGGTTATATTTGTCTTAGTTTATTAACTGTGTTTTCCTGAGTATTTCAGGTTATTGCTTGCCTTTTCTCTTTCTCATTAGAGTATGGATACCTTATGAGCACATGTACTGTATCTCTTTTTTGTGTTTCCCCACAGAGGTGAATAATACAAGGCTTTTCTCACAGATGGCATTCAATGTAGACTAATTGATAATGTATAATTTATAACAGGTTTTTCTCTGAGTTTAAAATTTTTTTTTCTTATTTTTAGACACTGGGAAACATTTCTATTTATTGAAATTTTTCTTTTCAATAAAGCATTGGTATTTTGATCATTTAGTATTATTAAACCGCTAAACATCATAGTGTGTTAGGTTTAGTGCATAATTAAACCAAAAGGTAAAGTTCATACTAATTTTTTACCTGCATATCTCCCTTGGTTAGATGACAAGCTTTCTGAGGTCAGAGACATCTTTATAATTCTGTTTTCCTGCCATAAACGTCAAGTAAAGCACCCTGCATGTATAGGACTCTAACAACGATTTTATTTTCTTGCATCCGTGTCTGCTATTTCCTTTTATCTTTTATCCTGGTGAGCAAATAACCATTTGGGTGATAATGTAGCCATTTCAGATGTATCTGTGCTACAGCATTGATTTTTAAACTCTCCTTTGTTAGAGTGGTAGTTTACAAGACTTATTTGGCCGGGAGTAGAGGGAGGGAGGGTAGTTAGTTGATTCCGACACAAGTGGTTTTGCAACTTGTAAGTATAATTTTCAGGGTTGATGATGAGCATGCATCAGGCATCCCTTCCTCCTCCTTCTTCATAAAGCAGATTTATTGTATATTCTGTGACCCTGTTTTAGCACTTTGGGAGCCTCAGATTCCAGATAGCAGCAGGTGGATAGAGCCGTTTCTGAGAGCCCGAGAAGTGTTTCCTGGCAAAGGTAGAAAGAGTTCTCTGGTGATTGGGTTATTTCGTTGGACCAGGTGACATTGTTTCCTATGAAAAAGTTTGTTATATAGATTTCAAATTTAGTAAGGGGGATAGAAACTACCTAGTTTAATAATTTGCACAGCTGGATTTGAAAGATTTTTCAAAATGATAGCCGAAATGTAAGCTAAAAGAGGGATATGCATTCCGCATAAAGCTGTTATACTGTGCCCAGCTAGTCCACTTATTCCTGGATGCTGCAGGATGAATGGTACAGCCTGTGTTATGTAACGTTTGTTCCATATTATTCTGCCCTAATGAGGTGGATTGGAGACCACGTCAGCTTTAATTCTGGATGCCCTTGCTTCTACAACCTTTTAGTCACTCGCAG